ATACATACATACATACATACATACATACATGAGATGTAAGAGCATGCATGAAAAGACTGATAACTGTTGATGAAGCGAAAGAGGTATATAAAATCGTAGCAATAAGGTAGATGAGTAATTTTTATTTTAATGTCCGTCTGGTAGATTATTTAAAAATATTAGACATGTATTTTTTATTTCCTTACAGAAACAAATACTAACGACGATATATTGATTTGAAATGTCACGTGACGTCATTTCTATGTACATTTTATATGTAGAAATGACGTTTTAGCCCCCACACTTAAACTTTGATTCATTTTATCTAAGAATTACTTTATAATACGACAAAATAAAAAAATACGTATCTAATATTTTTTCATTACCTAACTGACGGACTAATTAGATTTTTAATTTTCATACCCTGTCATCATCCCTATTGCCGTTCCATGGCCTTTGCCCCCATGGTATATAGAGGTATGTATGTGTACGTATGTAATAGCTTTTCTGCTCACCTTGCAATGGAATTTAGTTCATGTACGTCTTGAATTGATACTGATGTTAGGCAATCTGAAAACAAAACAAGAAGAGAACATCTTCGTGATTCATTTTCAGATTTTTGAAGACGAGAAAATGAGAATCATTTAAAAATTTTATGACGACAATCTTATCATTGTGTCCTTTGTGTCAGTGGCATATTTTCTTCATAAAAAAAAAACAAATAAATTAAGACTTTAAACTTCTTAGGCATTTTTTTTACAAAATGTTTCATAGGCAAATTAGATAGTAGGTAATGATCCTCTGTGTTTCAAAATCCAAGCTATTCTAGTTTGAATATTTGATGGGCGAGCATTTGAGTGATTGTAGTTCTTAGACATGAAAGTAATGTACTGGATAGTATTCAAACAAATTTGGAAAAAAGTGATCTTAATAAGATTTAAAGCAATGAAAATATAAGTAAGACACAATAGACACATGATTTCATTGGCTCAACAAATAAATTTACACTTAACCATAAGTCATAGTTATTTGCGTGGGAATAGACAAAAGGAGTGTCTAACATTTTTACGACGAAATAAAAAAAAAAAAGTAACTTACTTCGGTTGTATGAGATGGAACGGCATCTTCCTAACAGCTTCCTCAGCTATATCCAGGGGGAAGGCGAATTCTATCATGTTCTCATTGAGGCAGTCGTTGTATGTGGAAGCCAGCTGACATCTATCAGACATGCCATCGATGCTGTCCAGGCAAAGTCGGGAGACAGTGTTTAGTTTACGAACCACGCGGGAGTTCTTGCCGTTGACCAAACTGGCGAGGTGGACTAGCAGTTCTCTGTTTACCTGTGGTAGAAAATATATATTATGAGGTATAGGCTTAAAGTGAAGGGTTCTTGATGAAAAATGTTTACAGCGAAATGCTGTGAGCTCTTATTCTGATAAAAGGACTTGAGATTTTATTTTGGCATCTCGAATTTCAATGAGGTTGTATTCAAGAAGTATTTTAATGCTTTATGGTCATTATTACTTTGACACCGATAAAGTACACGTCTACCACGAAACCGACGACTGGTTAAGATCGATATATATGATATTATTGCTAAACTAGGCTTACCTTCCCATGATTGATGACGTCACTCTGTTCCAACATGCAGGCAGCAAAGCATTGCCCAGATCTGGAGACCGGTGAGGAGTTGGTGAAGTATGCTCTCACATCCTTAGGAGTTGCTCGAACTTTGATGACGCAGGATTGCGCCATTCGAACCAGAGCATCCAGATGACCTTGAACCTAGAGGAGAGTTAAGTTAGTAACAGTAGTTTTAAGCCTTATACAGAATTTCCAATAGGTCCTAAGAGTCTCAGCGGATTCCATTTCTTTCGGTACTTAGGGAAAATTGGACCTTATACGATGAAAAGCAGTCAGTCGATGATTTTCCCCCCTTAAAAAAAATACGATGTAATTTGAGAGATTATTTTAATAAAACAAAGAAGACTAAAATAGGATTACCTTCTAAGAGGGAGTCAAATAGCAATAATTCTTATTTTACCTCTTTTTAATACTTAAGTTCTTAATCGAAGTACTACTTCGTGCGTAGTTGAGGTAATTCAAAACTACTTACTTTGGGATCAGTGAAATCAACTAATGTTCCGGATGACCGTTGTACTCTTAGCCCCATAGCTAACGGCAAGAGACAGCTCATGACTTTGATTAGCAGCATTGTTCTAGAAAAAAACAACTATAAAAAAATCTGTTATTTGAATTAATCAAATGCAATGTTATTTTGTCACGCTATTCTTCTATTTGTTATGAACATGGTGGTAAAAAAAACAATTAAAGTCCTGCTTGACGGATGTCGTAAGAGCTGACTAAGAAACTGCATGTTATACACAGTTTGGGCAGAAGCGCTTTCAAATAAATCTATTACTGTGACCTTTCGACCTTCGATAACTTCAGTCATATAGCAAAACACAACATAAATATGTGCTGGTGTATTCCCACTTTGGTTGACATTTTTACTTCAGTAATTGGAATTGTGCCCAGTATATGGCAATAGGCTCACCCGCTATTACATGGGACTAATAACATAAATAGTGAAAAGTGGGTGTTACATTGTACAGTGGCATTATGTGCATCTCTGTCTACCCCTTCGGGGGTAAAAGGCGTGATGTTATGTTATGTTATATTTTTTACTTCAGGCCTAGAAAAATCTAATTTTGAGTGACGCAATGTTGTCGGAGTACATTTTAAAACGACATTTTCTTGTTTCATCTTACTTTTAATTATAAATTAACCTCCGGTGATTCTAGACTAAAATTCCTTTGCGTCTTGTAAACGAGATTCTCTATTCGCGTTAAAAGCTTTTACACAGTATTAAGTCCGCCGTCCTGTTAATACAATTTTCACTATCTTCTAAATTATTTTGTTGCCTGTTTTAATATATTTCTTTATGTTCTTTTGCTTAGTATCTGTAAAAAACCTTTTAATCTGTAATGCGTTCTGCTTCAGAGTTTTGCCGTGACCTATATTTATAGAAACTGCAATTGACGGGACGGTTGGTGAGGCTTCAATTCCCGCACGGAACAAATCTTTGTGTG